TTTGCAAAACCAGTTAAGCCTGTTTGGGTTGGGTCAATGGTGCTTGAAACAATACGCATCCCAGGTTTCAGGATGTCATCTTTTGATGGTGTGGGAGATGGTCCCTTCTCTTGCAGCATTTTCTTTGATATCTTGAGGAAAGCCACTCAAGCAAAGAAACTAGACCCAGATCTGACTATGGAATTGCATTTATATTATATCCAAAAAATGTAAGAAATTCTGGAATTGATTAATGATAAATTGGATTGGAAATGATAAGTAGACGCATCTTGACGTGCCGGGAAAAATCAATCATGAACATCTTTTGGAATGCCGTGCCGGGAAAAATCAATCATGAACATTTTGGAGTGCCGTGCACCCAGTAATGTTTAAAACAACAAGTACCGAAGGTCAAGCGTTTATGGCAAAAGCGTCCATGAATTGACAACTCGATTGCCAATATGCACGAAGTTGGAAAATTAGATCGGAGAAGTGCTCCCAGAAAATGTACCCGGATTGACATATTTAGATAAGGACTATAATCCTTACAGCGTCTGTCAACCGCTGCCAAAAACTTGTGAGGCGCTGATGGGGCCAGTGGCAGCGAGCTCTGTTTTGTTTGTGCGAGTGCACCAAGGAGGACTCACTTTCAGCATCCAAACTACTTGATGACACGAACCAACATGCAATCAACCAACAGGGCTTTCTATGACAGGATTCAATATGACCTTGATAGAGATAACACATTCCCCGCAGATAAAAACCATCGAGATTTCACGAACCAATGTTCGGATATATGTTATCGCTGATTCAACTACAGGTGGAACCAAGCAAAAATAATGTCAACGAAATCAACGAGTTTGGTCTATCAATTCCTAATACACTTTGAATCGACTGAGGGCCGATAATATTGTAGGATGTACTCCAAGGTCTAATACAAAAGAGGTGATCGAGGAGATTCATGTGGAGATCAATAAACCAAGAAAATGCATTGAAAGGAAATAAGAAAAGGAAAAGATATCCGTTCACGAGGAGTCAGGGACTTTCCTCGCGTATTCTAATAAGTGGAGACAGGGATCTTCCAAGTCAATGCGGAGACAGGGATCTCCAAGAACAGAGGTCAGGGACCACATCTGGTACATATATAAGGGCAGGGACCCGACTAGAATTTGTAGAATATGTAGATTAATAATCAATGGAATATAAAACAACAAATACCTAATCAACAACTCTATCATGTCTGAATCAGAAATTATTGATGCTCTCATCAATCATAACGAACCCACCTTACATAAGATAACACTGCAATAGACATAGATTTTTCTCCAGTAATTACTAAGTCACAGGTTTTTATCTTATTGAAAAATAGATTGTAGGCACGTCAAGAAAAAAATGGTTTCTAAATTTATCAGCAGATCAACAGATAAGGTGATTGCAATATAGCTTGAAAGAACTACAAGCTTTTATTGGAGAAACTCTCCGGGAAGCAATTGCCGAAATCTTAACAAGACACGGCTTCCAACAAATATGATTTTTTGATGATTCCTATTTGAATTGTTAGCAGAATTGACTCCGACAGTCAATTAAGAGGAAGTCAGCTTTCTTCTGAAAATCTTGAACATGAAAGGACAATTTGTGCAGGTTTAGTACCGTTCACAAGAGTACAAAGAACTTGGTTCATACGCAAACCATCGATCTTCGAAAACGTTCTGAACTAAATTACTGTCATTATACCTTGGTATTGAAGCGATCTTTGACATCGCGGGTAGGAATAAGGGACTTCTTAATCCACCACAATTAAGTGGTTTCGAGCAAGTGTCTTAAGTTCGTCCAAGGTAGTAAATTATAAATCTTCAATTCATGATGTCAATGGTACCACGCATAAACATGGTGCTGTCAACAACATGAACCAACTGTCTGGAACAACGCCGGGATTGATCTACCCAGAAAATTTAAGAAGACATTGCTTAGAATATACTTTACAAACCTGAACGAATATGCCGAAACTACATTGTCTAGCTGGAGCATACCTCCCCCCAGCCTTTGAAAAGAACAAATTCCAGAAAAACAAACTAATTCTCAGACCATATTTATGTAATAAACTCTTATAACTTGTTGTATACACTACAAAGAATTCATTAGAATTAATCAACTCAGAGACAAAAGCAAACACTCAACAACTCTACTTAACACCAGAAATTGTATACTCTCATATAGAAAGGTAAAGATCTGAGATATATCTTCTCTTCAGCAATTTCCTGCTTAAGCAACTCCAAATCGGTTTCTTTTCTTCCAGTGTCGATGTCAATATCCTCGGCTTTGATATAGAACTTCCAGTTACGCGTGTATATCTTATGACCAATGTAAAAACAAAGGATAATAGGAATGGAGAGGAGAGTTTGGAAAAATACCTCAGCATTTGGCTTTTGCTTCAATGGGAATATCGCAAGCCAGACTTGCAAGCAAACAATAATAATAACCAAACAAAGCCCCCAGTATGCTCCAAATAAACCCGGCTGCGAGGCAAATGTCAACTCCGAAGTATCACGCCCTTTTGCTTTCAATGCATATCTGAAACGAATGAAGCAGGTGTTAATTGAACCCCAGTTGATAAGCGTAGCGAGCCCCGTGAGGGCCATCATCCATGCAAACACTTCGCCCTGCTTTGGAGTAGCAGCCAAGTAGCACAAGCACCCGACCAGTAACTGTACAAGAATGGCCACTAATGGTCGACCTTTCTTATCAATGTAAGCTAAGATAGATGGAGCTTGCTTTGCGGCAGCTAATGCACATAATGCACGCGTAGCACCAAACAAAGAGGAATTACCCACAGATAAGACAGAGATCATGATAACGACATTCATAACAGATGGCAAGCCTTTGATACCACCATTTTGGATAGCAATGACAAATGGAGATGCAGTAGCATCTACTGATGACGCACCAAGAAGTCTTTCGTTGTCGTGGGCAACCAATAAACCGATCAAGGTTAAGCTAACAACATAAAACAAAGTAATTCTCCAAAAAACTTGTTTGCAAGCTTTAGGTAAAGCTTTCCTTGGATTGTCAGATTCAGCGGCAGCCAATCCACACAATTCAGTACCGGCAAAAGCGAAAGCAGCACCGACGAACACAGTGACAACTCCTTTGAACCCATTTGGGAATGGAGCACCTTCAATATGCCAGTAGTAACCGCCTAAATAGCCCCCTTGCGGACCACCACCAGTGATTAAAACAATGCCCAATATAATGAATCCAAGGATAGCTACAACTTTGACGATAGAAAAAACAAACTCAGCTTCACCATAGCCCCTAACTCCAAAAAAGTTAATTGCAATAATAAAGAAATAGAATGCAGTAACGTAAGCAGCAGAATTTGTATTCGGGTCCCAATATTTGATTGTCAAGGATGCAGCAACCAATTCTAATGGCAAAACAATTAACCACATTATGGCGTAATTCCAAGCCATGGCAAATCCCCAAGACGGATCAATAAATCTGGAATTGTATGTAACAAATGCTCCTTGGACAGGGAAAGTAACAGCCAACTCACCTAATGATTGGACACTACAATATATCATGGAACCAACCAAGATGTAACCAATTATTAAACCAGCTGGCCCCCCAGTGGCCAAACCGGATCCGGAACCCACAAATAAACCAGTACCAATCGCACCTCCAATAGCAATCATTTGTAAGTGTCTGTTCTTAAGCTTACGATGTAAGGACGAATGGGCCGTTAAGATAGCAATTTTTTCATCTTCGGGCATATTTGGATCAAGCCCATAATCCTCAACATGGGCACGTTTGAAGGAATCTTTAAATTTTGGCCAACCAGACAATTCAGATTTGTTCTCAATAGAAGTAACTTTCGCTGTCTTGTTGGCTAGTGCTTCGATGTCACTTGAGTTTGGCGTCAGATCTTTGTGCTTTTCTTCTGGCATCTTTATCGATAATGTTTGCGAAATAGGGTTCATTCTTAGCCTTGGTAGGGCGCTGGTTCATTTATTATATACCAAGAAGATTGAATTCTCCACGGCACCCCTTCCAAAGTTGCTTTGTTTAAGGTTTTGGAGTACTGATTTTATGTATGATACTCCCCTCAGCTCAAAACCTCGGTTTCTTTTATTTGAATCGAGTCATACTAGGCAACGATGGAAGCAACTTTCTCTGATTTGTTGGCAAGTGCTTCAATTTCACTTGTACCTGTCGTCAAATCGTTGAGCTTCTCTTCTTGTATCTCAATTCATATTGTTTGGAAAATAGTGTTCAAGTCATTGGTAGGTGGGCTCGTTTATTGTATAGCAAGAAGATTTTGAATATACCAAGCACTGCTTCCAAAGTTCCTCGTTTAAAGTTTTGATGTATGGATTTTAACTTTCATACTCCGCACAGCTAAAAACCTTAGTTTCTTTTCGAAGAATGGAGTCTTACTAGAATACAACGTCAAAGTATATTCAACTGATGAACTTGCTGATCTCAGTTCGGACTTTTAGGTCTCCCAGAACCAAGCGGCTTATGGACGGTAAATTATATTAGCTGCACTTCCATCCCAGGTGTAGATTTCCAGAGAAGGGTCTTTGTTGGTTAGACGATGGGAATTTCAAGGGAGAGAATCTGCATCAGGGCTTATGGTATTCAACCAGAATGTGACTGCACTTATTTAAGTTTTCAACCTGTGATTTTCTTTTGCTTGAAATCGTAGTATTACTGTTTATAAGTGTAATTAATTAAAATAGGCTCTTCAAAAGTCACGTGAAGTCACGCAATCTCAAATAACATATAGTAGTGAAGAATTATGGTTTAATGCTCCTCATTTTACAAACAATTGAAGAATAAAAGGTTATTATGACGTTATGGGCGAGGGTAGGTGCTATTATTGATAAGATCCCTCGTTGCTATAATTTATCGTTTATTTAACGCTGATTCATTGATTTCTAAGCTCATTCAACATTAGGGCCTTCGGATCATTAATGATATGCCTCTGGATTTTTGTGACGAAAGAAGAATATGCTTCGATCGGCCGTAGTGTTTCTGGACACTGGGTTAAATTTTAGGAAACATTACATGTTATTGAGCATGAAATACTCTGAACAAGCTTTTTAAATTTTCTGTATGTTAAATGTAAGGAGTGGTTATGTGCTTCTTCCTAATTTGGAATTGGAGTAATCGCGGAGATTATAGACTTTCGCCGGTCGTTAGTGAGTATGTGGTATGGCGGAGACCAGGACGTGGTTCCTGTGTTGATTTCTAAAAAGCTTCGATTCGGCCGCTACTTTCCCGGTTTCCTAAGCTTTAGTGCGCGAGGATAAATACTTGTGGATTCCCCCTTTAGAGGCTTTGGGATTTGGTTGGGGAACAACGAAGAGTCTACCTTCATAGAGTCCAACTATCTATTTACATAGAAGACTGAACTTTGGTTCATTGGGATATCCGAATACATTCGCTGGGACGATCTCGTATCAGACTTTTTAGCGCTTCCACTGTCAAACAATCGTATTCTAGTAAAAACACTCCTTATTCTTACATTAAACCACCTAGACATTACGATTATAAATGAGGCAGGTGACACCGACCAGTGGGAAATTCATCAAATGGGACCATTTAGAAATTAGAAAAACGTTAGAAATTCGTT